GCCCACTCAGTGGTAATGGCTGTTGAAGTCATGGGGCTTGCACTTTTTCAATGTGCACCTGCTGCCATGCCCACAAGATTTCTCCCTCCCCCCATGCTGTGTGTAGTTAGTATACACATAAGTTAGTTTAAACATAAGTAGACATTCAAAGATTCACTGATACCTCTAGCTGAATTTTTTTTATTCGGCAATATTCTGGAATCGCTAGAACAAAGATATAACAGAATTTTCTGTCTCAAATTTTTAGAGATTTAGGAGTCTGAAGTCAAAGTGTTAGCAAGGCTGGTTCCTTTTGAAAAGACATGAGGGAGAGCATGCTCCACATTCATCAGGAATGTATAGCGATGGCTGGTTATCTTTCCATTCCCTGATCTTGATTTCCATGTTCACATGACATTTTCCCCATCTTTCCTCTCCTAGAAGTTACTTAGTGCATGTCTGCTTTCAAAAATGTTTCCATAACATTGACTTAAAATCTATCCTGATATCATATTTTAACTTACTTTACTAAAAACACTATTTTCAAATAGCTTATGTTCTGAGAGACTAGAAAATAGGGACTCAACCATAACTGGGGTACAAACTTAACTCCACAGCGTCCCATCCTCTGAACCCTCAAACTTCACATTGTTTCTTTGCAGAGAGTGTACTCATCCCAATATCTCAAAAAGCCTTATTAATTTCAGTATCAATTCTGTGTTCAAAAGTTTATCTAAACAGCATCTCAAAGTGATCCAATCTTACGAACAATCTTGGGGAATGACTGTCCTGGGTCAAAATTCCAATCAGTGACTCTGGAGAGATGAATTAAAAATGCTTGATGCTTGTTTCTCTTGCAGAGAACCCAAGTTCAATTTCCAGCATCCAGTTGTAGGGGATCTGATTGCCTTTTCTGGATTTTTCAGGCACCTGCAAATGCATGCATGCACACACGCACAAGCTCATAAAAAAAAAAAAAAAAAAAAAAACAAAAAAAAACATGAATCTTTAAAAAAGTAGGTTGCAGGCTGGGTGCTGATGGCACACACCTTTAATCCCAGCACTTGGGAGGCAGAGGCAGAGTTCAAGACCAGCCTGGTCTACAGAGCCAGATTCAGGATAGGATCCAAAGCAATAAAAAAAAAAAAAAGAAAGAAAGAAAAAAAAAGTAGGTTGCTTCTAAAATACAATGGTGGGACAGAACAGACATTACCATTCTTTGAGAGATAAATAAGAAGAGGGAAAGCAATGGGTTTCAAAAACAATCAAGCTTAGGAAGGAAAATTCCATTCAGTTTTAAGTCCTGAGGATGATTTTCTGTTGCTGGATGTTCTGTTCTCTGAACCAGTCTTCCAGCCCCAATCATGCTGTCCCTTGTTTCTACCTTACACATCAGAAGTTCCTTGTCAGTCAAACTTCTAGCAGTTGTCTGTTCACAAGCATGTCTGTTTTTAGAGATGATAGTTGTTTTCTCTGAGCCCTGTCCAGCATCTCCTATACCTGCACTTCTGCCACCAACCTTTCCTAGGCATTCTATGCTTTTCTGCTGCACATCTGCAAAGTTCCCCATTACTAACTTCTAAAGTCAAACCTGCTTTTTCAGATATTTCAGCAGCATCTCTCTCCCAGTGGCAAATCTCTACTTACTTTTCATACATGCTAGAACTAAGTACCCTTAGCCGCAGGGTACATAACACAGGTTTATTGTTCTCTGGACTAGAGTCCAGAAGCCTGAGACAAGGTATTGGTTGGATTAGTGCTGAGGGATGTGAGGGAGCTCTATTTCCGACCTTTGTCCTAGCCTCTGCTGGATTTAGGTAGTCTGTGGCACTCCTTGGCTAATGCGGGAATCACCAAGATTTCTGCTTTTACTGCCATACACATTCTCCCAATGTTTCCATATCTTCTTTCTATGCTAGTGTGTATTATAAGAATATTGGTTGGATTGGGTTAGGGCCCACTCTAATGATCTTATTTTAATTGAATCATTCTGTGTAAAAATTGATTTCCAAATGAGGTTGTGTTCCAAGGTACTGGAACAGATTATAAATAAATATCTTGTCAGTGAAAACTAGCATTTTACACAATATAAATGTTGGCAACAACCTGTAGCACCATGATCAGGAAATATAACTTATCACAAGATCTATCCATGTCACATGGCAGATATAGCAGCTATTTTAGACTCTGGTACACAATAGTAACTACATTGATATTATAAGTGATCAGAGTTTCCATCGGGTTTTAAGGACTCCACAGCTGGGAGTCCTACATCAGTAGGCAGCTACATGCATTACTGTGATAAAAAGTCCAAAAGAACTTGAATAATTGTATGTAATTCTGTAAGAAGGTTGGAGGCATATGGAATTAATTTCATTTTAATCTGTTATGAAAGTCTGTATTTTATTTTATTCATTTAGATTTAACCTGAGAGGATACCTCAGGAGTCCCTAGATTCCTAGCTGGTTTTTATACATGAAATGATTCAGAAACAGTATTGAGATGATGGAAACAAAGAATAAGCCATTTAAGTTCAGTTTTGTGAGATGAAGAAAGAGGAAGAGGGCAAGTAACAAAAGCAGAAGAAAAGCTGGGTGGTGGAGGCACATGCCTTTAATCCCAGCACTCAGAAAGTCAAAGGCAGGCAGATTTCTGTGAGTTCGAGGCCATCCTGGTCTAGAAAGTGAGCTCCAGGACAACCAGAGGGGTCACACAGAGAAACCGTGCCTTGAAAAACCAAAAAAGAAAAAACAAACAGAAACAGCAGAAACCCAGCAGGATTTCAAGTAGGCATAAAAGTCAAACGCATAAATGATGTCTTGAAGGAATGTGGGGAAATGAGCAAGGCAGGAGAAATAGGTGACAATGTGGAACCAGACTCCACCAAAGTAGATGTGACAGAGAGCCCCTGGCAGGAGAAACAGACAGAGTGAGACTGCAAGAAGCCAGCATGGAGAGAGCCTGGGATAACTACACAGCTGGAATGGCTGGAGTTAAGTAGCGGGGAAGACAGGTCACTTTAAAGGAGGGAAATAGGAGAAGGGAGAGAGAGGATTTCTTGAAGAAGGTGTAGGCTCAGGTGATTCCAGCTGCGTTGCACATCCATTAGAGATGTCTGTGATTATAGTAAAATATACATAACGTAAAATTTATGACCTGAACCATTTTGTGTACAGCTCAGAGGTATTAAAAGCATTCGTGTTGCTGGGCTACCGATACTGTCAATCACCTGTCCATAAACCCTTCTCATCTTTCAAGACTGAATATCTGTGCCCATTAAACACAAATTCCCCACCCCTGCCCGGAGTCTACCATCTTTGGAGATATAGCAACAAAATGCATTTTACATTTTAAATGTGATTTCAGGGGAGATGGTGAGATGGATAAGGGTGCCAGCATGAGAAACCACGTTTGAATCCCCAGCTCTCATGTAAAAAGCCTGGCATGGATAGTTGTGTGTACTGTAATTCCAGCACTGAGGGGGCAGAAACTGGCAGATACAAATCACTGGGCACAGAGTCTAGCTGAAAGGGTGAGGTTCGGGTTCAGCAAGAGACCCTGTCTCAACTTATGAGGCAGAGACTAATAGAGGAAGACACTATATGGTTTCAAGAATGGAAGCTCTAACAGGAAATGCTGTCAGAAAAGTTACAGATGGGAGATGATAGTGAATGGACTATGGTGTGAGCAAAGGATAGGTTGAACTTGGATTTTGGCAGGAAGTCAGAGAGGATGGGATGATTTGTTAGAGTGACTGGGGGGAGAGGGCTTTCATTGTCTCTTAGACACATCTAGTCTGAACTGCCTCTGTAACATTCAGGTAGAGATGTCAGTTGGTACAGTATGTATTGAGTTTCCTGGAAAAGTAGGTTGGTGATTAAAAAAGGGAATGATTGAGGTAACTGAGGGAGACTGTTCACAGAAGAGCCCCTGAATAATCCCTTGGACATCCTTTTTTTCTTTTCTTTTTCTTTTTCTGTCAGAAGTTAGTTCCAAGGATGAGAACCCTATGCACAGTACCTTTAGTTAGCCTCACATTGCAGGAATATAGCTCCGATCTGAGACAGAAAGCAAAGCAGCCAACTTTCCCCTTTATATTTTTATTCTATTAGAAAGAACAAAATGATTAGTTTCCTATACACCAGCTTTAATTCCCATTGTACATATCATTAGCCATTTGCACTGTGTGTGGCTTACAGAGGGGTTGCTATCTCCCTTATTAATTATGCCTGGGTCTGAGATGGAGCTGAGATAAGAGAGACATGGCAGAGAAAGGAGAAATTGTTACCAGTTCAAAACTATTCAAAACTTCTAATACTGTGAAGCACTTTATACGAATGTAAGGTGTTCAGAGAAAGAGGAGATAAATACTTTAGTTTTGATAGGCCGATAACATAGCTCAGTGGCTTAAGTGCTTATCTCACAAACATAAGGACTTGTGTTCAGTCCTGTAGAAGCCTCGTAAAGGGCCAGATTCTGCTTTTATGGGGAGTTAGGAAGCAAGGAGTGGAGATTGCCAGAAACTCATGGGATAGCCCACCACACCCAGTGTTAAAATAATGAGAAGCACTGCCTCAAACAAGGTGGAGGTGAGTATAATATCACGTTATCCTCTGACCTCCACTCATAGGCTGCCCTGTACCTGTCTGCACTCATACACACCCAAAAGCTCTATCTTTTGTCTCGTTTGTTATTCAAGAAGCTAAGCATCCGTTTGAGTTTTCTCTGTCATAATAAAATACAGTATGATAATTTTTTTCTTATCTCAATCACTAGTTTACTAATTATTTGGGCTATTTGGAAATCTCTCAGTTCTTGTTTGGAGAAAAGAATTCTGATATTTTTTTTCCTTTTTTCCTGCACATGTTACTTTTTGCCATACTCAAACATTTGGGAAATGGAAATAGGGAAGCAGTGAGCTTCTTAGAAAAACTATAGATGAATGAAAGAGGAACTATGAAATTAGCGACATGTAACAGGAACTGTGTTATTGCTGTTGCTTATTTTTTCTCCTTTGCTAGGAGACCTGTGCTGCTGATGTGTGTGGCGCTCACCACTCTCCCAAGTTTCAGCTTTTCTATAGCGGTCACTGAGGTATGCGATTTTCATTTTTCTGCTGCGAGAGTTCGTGCTCTTAAAATGTCATGGTTTTGATTTTCAAAACGAGCAGTATGCCCAAACATTTTCTACAGTTTATTTTACTCCAATCTTCTTCCAAATTAATATATATGTACATATATATGTGATGTATATATACATATATATGTGATTGTGTGTATATGTATAGTCCTTATTGTAAGATAATTATTACGTCTATGATTTGAGGGATATTCTGGCATTACAAAATAATATCACTTCTGTAAATGTACATATGACCCAAGAGTATATTTCAAAGTCATAACGAATAAAAAAACTCAGTCAATCTACACTCTTCACAATTATCTACACAATTATCTTTGATAAGTTACCCACTGATAAATATTTTGCATGTTAATTATATTGATAGCCTTTTGTTTTGATGAAATGCAGACTGCCAGACCCTTGGTCAGTTCTATTATAGTCAAGATTCACAGGCCAAACCTCACTTTGCATGGATTTCAGGGAAAACCTTACCAATGTCACTATTAACTTCCAAGATATTGGGAAAGAGGAAAACACCATCAGAATGGGGGGGGGATGGGGAGGCATTCCCAGGAGTTCTAGTTTCAGTTCATAAAATGATGGTATGTCTGGGGTGTGATAACTTTTTTTCCCACTATTTCCTAAGATGTCCTTTTTTTTTTAAATTAAATTTCCATTGAATAGTCACACATTAACAGAAAAGTGCTTGAAGCATAGCTGTAAAGTATCAATGGAATGTCACAAAATGGATCTCTACACCAGCACCATTCACATCAAGAAATGCAGCCTGAGCAGCTGCAGCCCCATGGGCTCTGCCTCCCTTCCCTTCCTTCCTTGCAAGAATACTTTGACCATGACTTTTGTAACTACTTTTTGAATTTCCTATTGGGGAAGTCAAATTGTAACTACATTTGTTGATTACATAATGTATATCTTCTATTTTATTCAAAAGTATGATGTGAGCGTCATTCCTGTTTTTATGTTTAGCTATAGTTCATTTGTTTTCATTGCTATAGACTCAGGTATTTCATCTTAAAAGCTATAATTTATTTATTTATTTTTTGGTGTTGGCGTTGAACTTTTGTTGGTGTTAAGCACATACTGTACATCTGAGCTATACCAGCCCAGACCAATGCTGCAATTAACTTTTGGTTGTACAGTTTTACTCTGCTGCTGCAGGGTGGGTTGATCCTGGGGGCTTGAACTTATAAGGCAAGCCCTCCACCACTGAGCTACACTCTCAGTCCTATTGCACCATTCTTTTAAAAATGATTTCTTATTTGTTATTGTTTTACATCCTGACCACAATTTTCCCTCTCGCCTCTCTCCTACTACTGCTTTGTTTTCCCATCCACTCCTCCTTCATTTCCCTTCAAAATAAGGGCAGGTCCCCATGGATATCAACCAAACATGGCATATCAAGCTTCAGTAAGACTAAGCACCTCCTCTCATATTAACTGGACAAAGCAACCCAGTACAAAGATTAGGGTCTCAAGTGCTGGCAAAAGAGTCAGAGACAGCCCCTGCTCTTACTGTTAGGAGTCCCACAAGAAGACCAAGTTACACAACTGTAACATATGTGCAGAGGGCCTTGGTCAGTCCGGTTCAGTCTGTGTGACCCCCTATGAGCCCAGGTTAGTTGACTGTGTGAGTTTTCTTGTGATGTTCTTGACCCTTCTGGCTCCTATTATCCTTGCTCTCCTTCTTCCACAGGATTCCCCCAACTCTGCCTAATGTTTGGCTGTGGGTTGAGGAATCTCTTTCTATCAGTTGCTGCATGCATTTTCTTTGATGAAAATTGGGCTAGGCACCAGTCTATGAGTGTAACAGAGTATCATTAGTCATATTACATTGAATAGATTTTTTTTCCCCCTGCCAGTCATGTTTGGTTCTATTCTAGATCTGTGAGCTGGCCCACACTGCAGTGTCAGAGGTGGGCTCCCTCTAGTGGCATGGGTCTCAGGTTGGACCAGTCATTGGTTGGCCACCCCTCCCCACATTTTCTGTGCCTCTTTACTCAAGCTCATCTTGTAGGCAAAACAAATTGTAGGTTGAAGGTTATGTGGCTGGGTTGGCATTCCAGCCCCTCCATTGGAAGTTTTACCTCTTTACAGGAGATGGCCAGTTCAGGCTACATATCTCCTATTTCTGGGAGTCTTAGCTGGGGCCACCCAAGCAGTTCCACTAAAATCAGGAACAAGACAAGGCTGTTCACTCTCTCCATATCTATTCAAAATAGTACTTGAAGTTCTAGATAGAGCAGTAAGACAACCAAAGGAGATCAAGGGGATGCAAATTGGAAAGGAAAAAAATGTCTAAGTATTGCTATTTGCAGATGACATGATAGTATACATAAGCGACCCCCCAAATTCTAACATGGAACTCTTACAATCTGAGAAACACATTCAGCAAAGTAGCGAGATACTAAAAAGAAATCAGTAGCCTTCCTACATAAAACAATAAAAGTGCTGAGAAAGGAATCATGGAAATAACACCCTTCACAATAGCCACAAATAATATAAAGTATCTGGTGTCACTCTAAAATAATAGTTCTGTTCTTGATGATAATATCAGTTATTTACATTTCAGACTAATGTTACTAGGAACTTGACTAAACATTTTTATACATGTGATTGTATCTGTTGTTTTAACGCATAGGAGTAGAGTGGATGGGTTATACAGTATTCAACTGGCTAATGTAATGAATTAAGCCAAACAAGTTTCAAAAAGAGACTGTGCTGACATCTGCTTGCAGTCTCAGTAGCAGAGATGAATGCTCTCTCAGCTTCATGTTCTTTCCACAACTTGCTCTTGGTTTTTAGCTAATCTAAGGGATGTGTTTTTGAAACTCATTGTATTTTAAAACTTCCTTTCTCCATGTAAATGAAGTTGAGCATCTTTTGATCTTTGCTTATGTCATCTTTTCTTATCTTTTAAACTTGATTTGATTTACACAGTGAATAGTGTATTTATGAATGTAGGAACACACACACACACACACACACATGCACACACCAATTAAAGAGAAAGAGGCCACGAATTTGAAAGAAAGCAAGGTGGAGGGTAACATGGAAGAGTTTGAAGGGAGGAAAGGGAAGGGAAAATGATGTACTTATAATCTCAGAAAATAAAAGAACTACTTGAAAAATAGACTTGAAAGTGCTTGTTATACGTTAAATTATATCCTATAAATTTGTTCACCCTGGGACTTTCACCTTCACACTTTTACTGGTGCCTTTTGATAAGAAGCTGTTTTTTATTTCTTTAAAATAGCTACTTTCATTTGTGTAAAATGCTTCTGGAGAGAGAATTAAGAAGATTTATAAATCTAAACTACAAAATCCTGAAGCTCTTACCTCACCATGAACTTCTCTCATCTTTTTGAAAATGTGTTTTCCCACTCCTTCCTTTAGATTCGCAGTTTAGCTTCAGTGGTGTTTTGTTATGTTGTATAGGGATGAGTCACGTGTTTTTTGTTTGTTTGTTTATTTGTTGTTTCCAATGACCGGAGTACCATTTTGTAAAAAACGCAGTCCTTTGTTTCAACAGAACCCTCTTTGTTATAAGTTAGGTGTTCATGTGTCTGACCTTTTTGTTTTGTTGATTTGCCCAGCTATCTATCCTGTGCTCACACCTTACAGCGTCTTCTTACAGCTTTATAAATGTTCTGCAGAACCAGAAGAGCACAACATTCTACCTTCCTTTTCTTCTAGAATGTTCTGTCTTTTTTACTTCTACACACGTTAGAATGTGCTTTATAATTAACATGCCTACTGAAGTTGCAGTTAATGGCTTTCTCTTTTAAAAATCTTATTTTTATTTTTATTTTTTTTGCCATTAACAGTTAAAAAGATTACATCCATTTGGGAGTATTTTCTCCATATATACTCATAGAGTTTATGAAAAGTGATGTTTTAAATTTTCTTTGTATTTAATACAGTCTATTATTTTCATTTCATTTATTAGACTATCTAAGATATCTAAGACAATTTGATTGGAATTGATCACGAAGGCATCTTTGTCGAGAAGAAACTTTCAATTCTTTACCAAGAATATGATGTACTATAGCTTGTTTTATTGCTTTGTTTTGTTTATAGATAGCATAAGCAGATGAAGAAGAAAGCATAGCTCAGCCTACCTGTGCTGTCAGGGCTCTGGGAACACACACACACACACACACACACACACACACACACACACATACACACACACACACACACACACAGTGAAACACCTACACAGACACACACAGACACAGATGTATGCACACAGATACAAACACAGACATAGAAACACACACACACAGAAACACAATACACTGACCCACATACACAGACAAACACACACAGATACAAAGACACAGATACACACACACACACACACACACACACACACACACACTTACACAGAATCTAGGGCCTCATGTAGGCTAGGAAAGTGCTCTACAAACTGAGCTTCTTATTAATGTATTTTTATGTGCATTTAGGGGGCTCTGTTTTCTAATAATAATAATAAAAATCTATCCCACTTGTGTGAATCCTCATTGCAATTTAGAAATACTTCAAAGCCTCGTGGCTAAAACCCGGGAAGTTCGAAACAGAGCTTTTATTTTTTCAGTAAATATATTTAGCAGTGTCTGCAGACTACTGATAGAATTTAGAATGAGTAAAACAAAGTAAATAAGTGTGCTTAAATGGCTTTCTGAAAACAGGTTCAAAAGAATGGCAATGGGACATTACCTGACTCCTTACCAGACTTGCCAGTGTCTGTGGTTCTGTTGTCCCTGATCGTGGTTGACATTATTGAGAAACTCAGGATATACCCTCTAAGAGGAAGTCAAAAGAGTAAGTAACCCTTCACAAATGAATACTTACACCTAAATTTTTATTATTTTTTTTATAACTTTCTGCTATTCTGTTGCTTAATAAAACATTTAATGAGAGTGTTTCTTAGAGGTAACATCACCGAGAGAAGGTTGAAAATGAAGATACGTAGACAAAAATATTTTAAAACATAATTTGATAAGTCATTATTACTCATTTTGTATATTAGTACAATCTATAGTATATTAGTATAATCTATAGATTATAAAAATATCAAATATTTAATGCCAATAAAGTTTAATGTTTACCAAGAAAACATTATCATTGCAATATTTTAGAGATGTCTTAAGTCGTTAAATTTAGAAGAATAAAGTAAATTTGAGTCTGGTTTGGTGACACACACCATAGCTGAGGTAGGAGGACAAAGAATTGGAAGCCAACCTGAGTTGCACAGCCAGACCCTGTCTCCCAAAACAAACAATGAAGGGAACAAAAAAGGTCATTTTTGTTTGAATACCTTTGCTACAAGAGTGAGTGTAATAGCTGTAAATCCTATTTATGTCTTACAGAATTGCATATTTCAAATTATGGATTATAAAAAGCCAAAATTCACATTAGTAAAACAGAGACAGCTGGGCAGTGGTGGCACAAGCCTCTAATCTCATCACTTGGGAGGTAGAGGCAAGTGGGTCTTTGTGAGTTTGAGGCTAGCCTGGTCTAAAGAATGAGTTCCAAGACAGGCAGGGCTGCTACACAGAGAAACCCTGTCTTGAAAAACAAGAACAAACAAACAAAATCAAAACAGAAACAAACCACATCCCTACAAAGTGAAAAGTTGAAATTAAATACAGGCTGGCCTTTAAAAATTTATCTCATTACTTGATTTGTGTCTTTGTCAGGACATAAATTCTTTCCAGCTCTATTTATCTTCCTGTGCTAAAGTGTGATTAACATGCTGTATGATAAGGACAAAATTTTGTAGTGAGAGCATGCTTGAAGTGGGCAGAGACTGGGAGGTCACCCCCAACAGATGGATGGAGTCAGACTTCACAGTGACAAGGATAAGGGGTAGAGACAGTCAGTCATTTGGAGGCCACACAGCACCACTGCACAGCCACTCTTGCTCTGGAAACTGTAAAGAAGACATGTCCTGTAGGCCATGAGGAAAGCAGAGTCTTTCAATTTACACCTTGTCCCCGTGGGTGGGAAATTATATGCTATTACGTTCAACATCACACTGGTGACAATTCAATAAGAGCCCAAGGGCCACCACCTGCAATCTTTTGCTCACTTTATTTCTAGCTCCCACAGACCTGTTTCTAGGTTGTTCTGTTCTTGAGGTATCTGTATTTAGCATTTTGACATAAACTTTCTGTCCAGCTGAAAGTTCTTTTTTAGAAAAAAAACCTACATTTTTTTTTAGTAGAAGTTAATGGCACTTTATTGTCTATAGCAATGATTGGAATCTTCCTTCTGTATCCCGCAGTGGTGCTTTGGGAAGAGGACTAGAACAGAGCGAAGTTCTGTGTTTCTTAGTGGAGACCCTCCCCTAGCCCCTTTCTGCTCAAACCTGAAAGGGTTGACTAACATATACTGTAATAACTCTGCCATTCAATAATAAAATCACACTTCAAAATACCTTTGCAAATATTAATGTTACATGTATTCAATATTTATATGAAATTTGAACTCACTTTAGTACTCATATTAATACTATAAATTACACAACTTTTGAGTCTATAGTATGTTCTCCTATATCCCTTGGAACTTCCTGCTTAAACACATTCATTTTAAAAATCATTTTTAATACAGGCTAGCTGTGTAGTCCAGGCTGCTCTTTAGCTATTAATCCTCTTGCCTCTATCATCTGAGGGCTTGAATTACAGATGGGTACCAGTGACAATGCTGAGGCATCCAACGATATGACAGCATTCTGAGTGAAGTGTTTCATCTAAAATGAACTTCCATGGGAACAGTGTGCTAGTACATGGATCTCTGTGACAGGATAATTTCAGAGATAAATGTGGTCCTTACTATATCCAGATATGAGAACAAATGACAAGGATACAATAAATAGCCCAACTGCCATTTCTAGCTGAGTCTCCTATTAATGACCGCGCTTCAATCTTCTCACCATCCACCATCTTGTTCCTGCTTCTGCTTTCAGATCATGCTGACCCCTCTGTGCTCTTACTTGGGTCAAGACAGTTGAATAGCTACCACTTCTTTGCTTTCAGTGGCCCTTGTGTTCTTGCTTTCATTTCAAACCCCAACTCCGGAGTCTCCTGTGTTCCTGTTTGTTGCTTCAGACTAGTGACTGTCCCAGAATTCCTACTTTAAGAATAACTGTCTTTGATGTGTGGTTGCTCACCATACTCAGCTCCAAATACTGTTAGCTTTATGCTTAGCATCTGGAAAGAGCCTCAGTGCTCTTTCTGTATTCTGGGTGGGTTGGCTCTTTTTCTGCCAGCTGGAATGCTGACTTCTTCCATCGAGTTTTACTTTCCTGGAGAAGCTGCAAATGTCTGGAAACACAGCCCGTTAGCATCATATACTAACATATTGCCTGGGACTTAGACAATTTCAAGTAATGTCCATTACTTTCCACTGGACAACACATTGCCCCCTCCTACCAATAGACCTGAAGCTGAATCTAGTAGAGTTAGATTCCTTTTAAGATAACTTTTCCTAGAGGATTCATAAGTCTTCTTAACTCAGGATTTATAACAGATATTCCATTGCCTGAATCCTAATGTTGTCTGTCATTTGATTCCTCCCTCTGCCTCCATCAGGATCTCTCAATGTTGTAGAAAGAGGAAGATGCAAACATAAACAACAATATCCATGGCTGAGTAGGAGTTTTCAGTCCTATTAGCAGAACTCAGTTAAGTAGAGTTTGTAGCCTAGGTTGGATCACGCATCACAAAATGATAAAAGTATATTTATTGTTAAAGTGCTGTATGGTCTGCATGTAAGGGACTATGTCGAACTACAGGTGAAGGAACACTCAGGTCACTTTAAGGGGTTAGAGGTAAGGGAGAAGTCAGAGTTTTATAGGGGTTTGTAGGTGGATGTGGAGAGGAAACTTTCTCCATTGAGCAAGCTTGGACCTCAAGGAAGTCAAGAATGCATGTAGCCCACGGGGGTGTTCTAGAATAAAAGTAACTTAATTTGATTTCACACCATAAGTCAACAATTTTGACTCTATTTTGCTGAAATAGAAAATGCCTTCTCAAAACCACCTATGATGAGTTTGCCATTTTGTCACTTTGAAAACCTGCAAAACAATTTCAAGAGCTATGGTGAAAACTCTGGAGAAGAGGACTTGGAGAAGGAAGTAAAGGAGATTTAATTAGGTCAGAGGTCTCCCTCCCTGCTTCAGCCAGACAATAGGGCTTTTGTGTAGGAGATGCTTTATGTGAAGTCAGGAGATAACAAGATATTTGTCTGCCAAAGGCTGGAAGGCCACTAGTCCAGGAGCTTGTTTGGAACTATAGATTGCACCTCCTGTAGATCAGTGAGTCCCATAAGTGATATAGCTTAGCCGCTCTATAGACCTGGCTTTACAGAAGGAGCCCATCACAAAGCTCCAGTTATGTCTCCTGCTGCTCAGAGCCTAACTTTACTGAGCCTGTAGACCCAGCAGGCCTATCCTGATGGAACACACAGGGAAGAGGCACAGTTCTTTTGCCAGCCACACAGCTTTTTCATTACAGAATTTTGTTTTGTTTTGTTTTGTTTTGAGATATAGTATTTTATTTATTTATTTATTTTATATAACCAAGTCCATTTAAATGAAAACAAACATTTATAGACAATATTTGGGAATTTGGGCGTCGTTCTTTCCAAACTACTTCCTGCTGGTAAGGGGCACTGTCATGGGGGATTCTAAGAAGATTCAGAAATCCTGGCTGTAGTCTGTAAGGCTGCTTTGTCCAGCTGTTTTGAATGTAGGATAAACTGGTACTCTGTTTCAGGTGTTTTGGCTTGATCAAACCACATTACTCTGGAAGGAATCCACATCTTTTCATTTTCTGTGGAAACAAAAACAGAAATCCTTTTCCCCAGTAACTTGTCCTTGAACTTAAATTTTGGAGTCAAAGCATTTTTTTTTTTTAATTTAATTTTTTACACATCGATCCCAGGTCCCTTTCCCTCCCTCCCTCCCTTCCTCCTTCCCTCCATCCCTCCCTTTTACCCTCTCTGCCCTCTCACATGCACTCTACCCACCCTCCCCTCCCATCCCCCCCCACCCCAATTCCATATGTAGGGCAATGTCATCCAGTTGGGGTCATGTAGATCTGACAGGTCATGTGAAGTGGGGACTAGGGCTTCTCTCCTGTCTCTAGATTAAGGCAGTTATCCTTCCATGGGGGATGTGTTCACAAAGTCCTTTTGTGCACCAGGGATACATCCTGGCTCCACTGTCTGAGGTCCCTTAGACTGCTCAGTCCTTCTGGCTGAGACCCATATTCAGGGGGGCCTGAGTCAGTCCCATGCTGGCTTCCCAGCTATCAGTCTGGTGGCCCGTTACCTCCTCCTTGTTCAGGTAAGTCTCTATGTGTTTCTGCCTCCTGGCCTTGTCCTCTCCATCTGCATCTGGGTTCTAGTTCGACTCAGTGTTTATGTATGGGTGTTTGTTCCTGTTCCCATCAGGCATTAGTTGAGGGCTCCTTGGATAAGTTAGTTGTTGATCTCACTCTCCGGAAAGGAGATTTATGATAGCATTTCCACAGAAGCTCAAATTGTTAGTTGGCAGCAGGCTTGTAGTTCTCTAGATCTTTCTTTGTGTTCAGTTTTATCTTCAAACCAAATATTGGCTCCCTCTTTTATGTTCTCTCTCTCTCTCTCTCTCTCTCTCTCTCTCTCTCTCTCTCTCTCTCTCTCTCTCTCTCTCTTCCCTGTCTTCTATTCCTAACCAGGCTCAATCTTCCTGGTCGCACATGTTTTCCTTTCCTCCCCCTCATTTTCTCCTACTTCTCACTCCTTTCGCTGGCCCCTACTTCTGCTAAGCTCTGGGG